GGAGATTGATGGATGAAACAATGGCGAGCGGCGTGGTGGAGCGTAGCGGGGGGCGAGTGCGACGGGGGGAGGAGAAGGGCGAGCACGGGCTTAGCTCGCACACCTGGGCTGGCGGCAGGGGGCTGCGCAGGATCAGACATGCATTTATCCCTTAAATGACCGCTCAGCGGCGCGCATGAGGACCATTGCGGACAATAAACCCTTTGGCCGGCTCTCCTTCCGCCCTCCTCCCTCGTGCTTCTATGGCGCCGGCCTGCGACGCGCGAAACTCCTTTCATTTTGACGCCCCTGCTATCTTCTTTCAATTTTCGCGTCCCCGCGGCTGTCCCGTCGCCGCCGAGCCCTTTATCCGCCGAAGTGAATGCGGGGCGGATTGCGTGACTTGCCCGGCCGGCCCGGCCCTTTGACGGCGCGGCGGTGCCCTCCGGCCGCGCCCCCGGCGCATTGGGCGCAAAGGGTCACCTGAACCCCGGCGGCCCGGCGGCCCGGGCGGCGCTAACGGCCGGGGACGGGACCGGACACTGGAGCGAGGGCTTTGTCACCCTCTGAGCCGGCCGGGGCCTTGTCGGCGTGGCGGCGGCGGCGGGCGGAGAGCGCCAGGTCGAAAGGACATGCCCCAGCTGGCCTCGGCTGGCTGCTGTGATCGGCACGATGGCCTCGGCGGGGAGCACGGCTCGGGTTGCACGGCGAGTGCGGAGTGCGGGCAGGCGGCGCCAGGCTCGCCAGGCAGGCCTCGGGCCGGGCGAGGCAGTAATGGGGTGGTTTATGTTGCAGTCTGAATGGTGCCCGGTAAGCTGACCCCATAGCCTCCCTCTCTTTACCGGACTTGTAAGCCACCATCACAGTAATGTTCCTACTATTTTCCTTTTGCGAAAACATGTTCGTTGTTCTTAGTACCTCGGGCGAATCAGTCACCTGTTTATAAGAGCCCTTCATTATGGAGTACACGTCCTCTGGCTGCGAAAACTTAGTCAAACAGGGGCGCTGTCTAAACGTTGGTTCTTTCTGCATGCTGAGGGTCTGGATTTGTTTGGCGGGGGTGGGGGCTCGTTCCCTCTGAACAAAGAACCCCGCTAAAGAGCCGAATACCTCTTTAAAAAGGTTGTATCCACTACGTACCTCTAAAACGTTTACCTAGAAACAATTTACCTCTTAAAAACGTATTTATTGTGCCAGAACACTGACTGCAGCGGGAGCGAGCGGGAGAACGCAAGTAGAGCGGACTACACTGTACCAGGTGGCTCCTGCAGTTATACTTTACCGCACCTTTGATTTTCCTACCCCAGGGGGCCGTAGCGCGGAACGGGTATTGCAGGTAGGCAACCCGCAAACCTGCTGCATGCCGTATAGCATAACCACGACGACTGGTGGGTTTGCCTATCCCAGGTGGCTGGAGCGCCTTACGAAATCGTTTGGAGGTAAAGGTTTTGGAGGGGTACTTGACCCTTAGTTTTTCTTTGTTTTTAGAGGTAATTGACATTAGAAGTAATCGACGCTTGAGAGGTACCTTGTTTAATGGGAACGCCCCCCGCCCCGGTGCGACCACAATGTGACTGCGCTTTGATCGTTTCTCCAAACCCAAGATGCACAACCTCACTCAAAATGATAATAAAGAACACCGAACTAGACTACATCGAAAAAAAAAAAAAAAACATCTTAAATACCGCTCAGCCTTAGCCCCGAACGGCCGATCTCTAGAAATAATTAATGGCCCAATCGTCCTTGCGGATGCTGCGAATAAGGGCGTAACCTGATTCCGCGAAACGCATTCCGAAGGGAGCCGTTATGAGGGGTTTGAAGGGATTGGGGGTGGATGGGGGCTGCCGGGCCTGCGGACAATGTGTTCCGCCGGGAGGGGAATGACCCCGACCAGCCAGGGCGCGTCGTGGAGCTCGCGAGGACGACGGGTCCACTCCCCCTCCTCTGGGCCGTGACGAAAATTCGGCTTTGAGTAACCCTTTGGAGCCGTTGTAGTGTGAGAGGCGCAAGGAGCGAGGGAAAGGAGGGGGGGGGAAGGGGAGGAGGAAAAGTGGGTAGATTGGGGAGGAAGGGGGCACGCGCTCTGGCGCTCTGGCTGCTCCTTGGAGAGGGCTGGCCTGGGTGTTATTTGGTCCGGCCGAGTCAAAGGAGAGCCTCTCGAATTGTCATTAGTTTGACCAGAGGGGGCGAGCGAGAAGGGGGAGGAGGAGAGG